TTTGGGTGTTACCAGCTAAACGAATATTTTACGAATGCGCCAACATAACAAACGTTAACATAAATTCTGGCGCAAGACTTTACTGAATGCTGAAGCATTTTCACAGTCGGATTTATTGGACGTTATACACCGAATTAATTACTTTATTTTTTGTAAACAGCTTTTTAACTCTTAAAATAATTGGGACGTACACGCGTAGGTAGGTACTTGCAATCAATCTGCATGTCCTTAAAGAAATTACTCGCTGACAGAAAAATAAATAAGTATATAAATAAATCATCAAATGACGCACACGAATGTATTTAAAAATACTTCAAGAAACATATTTAGCGTGAAAAATGCACACGAGTATGTACCTACCTAAATTATCTTGTTACTAAAATAATAATGTCGTTGACCTAAAATTTATTTTACACTGTAGGTAATATAATTTTCATTGAATAATCTTATACAAGTTGCTACATGAATGAGTATAATTTGTTTCCTAGTAGTTGAAGTAGTATTCAATAGGTTAACATATACCTAGTACATAGAAACTTAAAGAATAAAACAGTTTTACTTCAAGTACCACACTTCGAAAGTGCAACTTTCAGACACACTTTAAGACTTCTTTTCATATAGAAGTTTTCTTTATTAGGTACGCAAATAATATAAACTTTTTCATCATCAACTCAGTTTTTTCCTTACCAAGCACAATCTCTTCAGTGCTTACCAATCTGGTTTTCGTCACGATTACAGAACTACCACGGCTCTCGTGAGATGAAATAAGATCATGTGTTTCTGGACAGCAAGCAAGGATAGCTGCTCGCCCAACCAAAACGGGTTGGAACAGGGGTCGCGAGTCAAGCTGCGGCTACTTGTACCTTGTGTTGCCTGAAGCAAGACAAGGAACGGGATGGCTTTTATTCAGTAAGAGTCCCTCTCGCCCTACCTAGGCGAGAGAAGTAATGGAATACCATTTTCCCCAAAAAAAAACAAAGATGTGCCGGTTAACGGCCCTAGTTCTGCTCGAATTCAGCAAGGCATTTAAAACTGTTGACTTCGACATTTTGCTCGGCATACTCTCTCCTAACAGTCCATCCGTCCGTCTCGGTAATTGACTGTTTTTATGGTGAACTATTTGGTCGCCAGTGGCGTATTCATGCCGAGGATTGCTATTCTTCATGGTGCTGTAAGAGTTCTGGTGTACCACAGGGTGACATCCTATGTCCTTTATCCTTGCGGCTAATATAAAATGTCTGTAAAGAAGCATTCCTCTTTTTTCCACATCTATGCCGATAATCTACAGATTTACACTAGATTTTACCAGAAGAATTACCTGATGTTGTTGGATCGGTTAACCATAACAGAGCAGAAATTAGTGACTGAAGCATGTGGGCTGCGAAAGGCCATGTTTTTGTTTGCATTAGTACCTAACTTTTTTATATGATTAGACGGCAAATGAGCAGACTAATTACCGGATGACAAGCAATCGGCACTACTCATAGCACCGCAACACCAGAGGAGTTACGAGTGCGTTGCTGTTTTTTGAGAATTAGGATTTAGGTTAAGGGATTGGAGGAGGAGAAGTATTAGTCCTTCAATAACCTCTACACCGGTCGAGCCGACCCATTTATGCCGAAGCGTGGTTCTCTCACACTTAAAATACAAATTAATCATGTTGCCTAGATATAACTAAGACTCAGTTAAGATTAAATTGTGTTCCCTAACAAATAAATCTATCAAAGCATCTAAAGACACCGAAACTCTCATTGATCGATTTAATTTCAAACTTGGCTTTATTGTTTTTTCTAGCTAATTCAAGTGTTGGAGAGCATTTCCCGTCAGGTAATCCTGTTAATTTTCTGCATTTTTTTTCTTTTCAGTTCCAAATTTTTTTTTCTCTCACCGGGCTGAGACGAGAGGGAGTGTCAGACTCTTACTGACTTAAAATACTTCGTTCCTTCTTCTGTTTTAGGCCGAAGCCGAGGTACCTTATTAAGTTAATCCAACAACCCCGGCTAAACATCGGCCCTGTTGGGCCCCGTCTGTAGTGGTCTACTAGCTCTTTGAGTTAACGCTTCACGCCGTGCATTCGATTCTTTGGAGTTACTGGCGAGGGAAAAAGAGTTAACTTTGAAAGGGAAAAGATTTCCTTTTTTATACGGGACCTCGCCAACGCACCAGTTCTGCTTGAATGCATATTTTCGGGTCTTTAATGCAGACGGCTGGTTTGTCATTAGTACTTAAACCATAAACCGATTATTTTAATCCAAAAAACTCATTCTTTCAAGCACACGGTTTCTGAAAGGCTTTTTAACGCAAACATTAACTAATCGACTGTAAGGTCATTGTCAGAAGTTTTGTAGTTACCAACTCGAATTGTAAGGTAATGATAAAATAATTTATACGCATTTTTCAAAAACTGATTTTAGTGTTGTAAATAAATCTAATGACGTAGCTTATTAGAACAATTTTAGGTCATTACCTGCTTGTTACCTGCGCGTGCGCCTAAATTCAGACGCTAGGTTAACTAGCGGGCGTGTTGATATTTCTTGTCAACGTAATTATTTTATTTTATAATGAAAATATCTAGAAACACATCATATATACGCTTGTAGATAACCTAAGTACCTATCCAAAAACTAATGACTGCATGGTTGGCGCGGTGACTGGACAACTGGCTGGGGAACTACTCTTTGTGTGTGATCCACAAATTGTTGTTGCGGGTCTGGGTGTGATGTTTTTTTTATCGAATAGGTGGCAAACGAGCTGACGGATCATCAGCTGATGGTAAGACCGCCCATGGACATCCGCAACACCAGAGGAAATGTGAAGTCCTATGTTTCTAAATGCACCCACGACGCAGGAGAAAATCCTAGTGTGAAGAAACGTAAAAAAAATAAAAAATAAACTAAGTTTTACGTGATTTGAATAAGTATAGAGTAGGTTAATACCGGTTCCTTAAAATTTTATGGGCTAAGTCGGCAAACAAGGTAATGGATCACTTGATAATGATGAGCAATCATCATCGTCCATGGACACCTGCAACACTAAAGAAGTATCAAGTGACTACCGGAGCTTAGGTTAAGGTTTGGGTCTCTTGGCATCTGGTGAACGCAAGTGATGTTTCACGCTGTTTTTTTTTAATTTTACTGAGGCAAACGACGAGGCAGATTAGGTATCTGATGGTAAGCAATCATCAAATAAGATAATGGATTTTGAGGATTTAGGGATGGGGAATCTGTGGTACTTACTTCTCCGGTGGAGCCGTTTCCGGTTTCATAATTGGGACATATTAGGTTGGGGAAAGTCTTTTCGCATTAGGTACAGCATAAAGGTATGGAATTGTAATAAAATCTCTTTCGCTTTGGCTGGTTTTGGTACCATTAAAGGTTTAAATTTTTAAAGAACACAATTCCAAATTCCATTTAGTAAAATGTGTGATTTTCATTTGTTTTCATGCTATCAAGATGAGTGAATCAGATGAAGAGATTAACGCCCGGTTCCTATAATTGAGAAACGATCCGTTTTAATTACGAATAGTAGTTTTATATACGACTCGAAAGCTAAAACCGTTCCTATAATAAACGTCTCGTCGTGCAACGTACTGACGGTTTGCAACTAACGGATATCGGTAAGCGAATTGTATGGAGATCTATGGTGTCTGTGGTTTTCCTATAAATATTTTAACCGCCAGTAGACGGTCAAGATAACTATTCGTAATGTCATTTGGTCGTAATGCGTATACAATGACGATTCGTTAAATATAGGAACCGGGCATTAACGCATGACATTTTAACGCGTTACTGTAAAAAAAAGGTAAAAATGCAACGCAAACGCGTGAATGATGCGATGGAATTGGGATCTTTATGGACCTCAAATCCTATAAGCTAGTCAACGATTGCTTGGCTGCAATCGTTGAGGGTAAGCCGCACTAGTTTATTAAGAGCATCTTCACTCTAACCTGGACGGAAAGACAATTGCATGCAAGCTATTCTAATCCTTTTGTGTGTAGTATAAACGACGAAGCGAAAAGCTAAGATCGGATGGTAGAGGTCTCAATAACATAAGGATGGTTACCTACCAGGTTGTACGATGGTAGAAAGGTCATGGGGGAATCAACTCGTGAAGTTTCCGCGCAGGACCTTGGACCTAATGCAGTGTCTGTGAAAGTAGCACAAATTTGGTTTAAGCGTTTTCAATCCAGAAAATGTGATGTTAAAGAAGACGCTATGAAAATTGATTCCATTTTTGAAAAAGTGGAGTTATTACGATGACGTAGGTACTGATAGCCGAAGAACTACTGAGAATCGAACACAAAACATTATGTGTCGGTCTCTTCAGAATTTATTATTTACTAAAACTAAATCTCCTCTCTCTTTAAAGGCCACAGCAAAATAGTGGGCTCTCACAGCCGAAAAAAGTTATATTTTAGCAAGTTTCGTGTAGATGGACACGTAAAGCAGTATTTATGTATTTCATGAAATATAGTAAATGTAGGTAGTCTAATTATTATACAATTTATTTATACTAGAAATAATAATATGACATGAAAGAATATAATTTATAGCGACTGTCAACCGTTTTCAGTAATTTACATAATAGCGCCATCTATTTATGAGAACTGATAACGTTAAAACCAACAGTACAAAGTGGATTAACAATGACATTAGGTACTTAGTTTTATTTTCTTCTTACTTTAAGATTAAGAAAATCTTGAAACACCAAATGCATCCAGAAGTACCTTTATATTTTTAAATATTATTTCAAATCTTATTAGAACAGAACAACTACGTGCAAAGGAACGTTGTATTAAGAGTTGCTAAGTAATTTTGTTAAATCGATTATAAAATTAACTTTTTGAATTTTAAATAAAATTGGTACAAAATTTTAAGAAGCAGGTTTACTACTTAAAATTTAGTCATTTTCTGTAATAATTGCGTTTATGTGCGAACGTTAATCTGTAGGAATAAATTATTAGGTAAATGATGTTCAATCACCCGTCACGATCAAATCGATAAATTCCAACAGGTGCATCTCTACTGTGACTTGTCTATGTTTAGTTAGTGTAGGAAATGTATTCATTCGATTTCAGTAAGTTCGTTTTAATTTTTTCATAGTAACTTGATGTTTTTATTTAAAATTGTGATCAGAAACGTATTTGAAGTGATAACCAAAGCTATGTTAATAGATCGTGTTAATTAAATCTTTAAAACTGCTGTTATTAATTCAATAAAGAGTGGAACAACCTTTAATTAAATACTCGTTGTGGCTATAAACAAACATCTGTAGATGTGTGCTTGTGCTTACACTTGTTGCACCCACTTTCAAAAATATAGAGAATCAGTTTACCTGTTTGTGAGAAAGTGAACTTATCATTAACATGTCATAGAATTCATTTTGTGACAATTTACCGTTACGGCAGTCTAGTGAATGTGAGAAATGTGATACGATATTGTTATCGTGGATGTTCGTTACGATGCACCTGTCTGCACTACATAACGTTGCATTGAGCCAAGTGCATAGCGTTTGTTAACAATCCGCCTGACGGATACTAATTAAAATCCAGTTATTTGTTACGTAGATAACTATGGCGCAGGTAAAAAAATACACGAATCGACAAGTCAGTGAGGAGTCGGTCCCAAAATGACTCATACGATGATCGCTGGCATTCCTGTATTGTTTTGTTTTTAAAAGATGCCATACCGATGAGTAAATTGCGGAGGGAACGAACAACAAAAAGAAGCATTTATCTATGAAGATAAGGAAAACAAGCAGTGTTCTATAGTTCGTTTGTACCTTTGCGATTGGCGCGAACTTTTAGTTTTGTGAGTGAAATTGAAGTGCTTTGTATAAAATGTGTTAAAGAACGTGTTGTTTTAAAACATTTGCAATGGCTCAGAGTTCTGTGGACTCGGATAGACTTTCTTCAGCAGGGATTTCAACCCACAGCTCAGGTACTGCAGGAACTGTTGGTGGTTCTGTAGTTGGAGTCAGGCCAGGAGATGCAGTGCTTAAAAGAGAGGATGAGGATGAATATAACCTTGGACCACTGCCTCCAATGTGGGAAAAGGCATTCACACCATCAGGAGAAGTTTATTTTATTGAGTAAGTGCTTATTTTTTAATAGCATATATGAAAGGCTACTTAACTTGTGTCTTATGTATCCTGAAACTATAACAATCATAAGATTATAAACCTTTTATAAACTGTTCACCTGATTACACACTTATTAAGATTAACACAAAGTTAAAATAGTTTTGTAACTACAGCCAATGTTTGCGAGTGGTGGAGGAACTCGCATTAATTTTTTATTTTTGAATGAATCCAATAAATACTTGTAAACTAAACACATGCTGGGTATAAAATTCATAATTAAATATTTTAAAGTAGTTGTAAAACAAGCTTTTGTCTAATGGGTCAATTTGTGCCATGCTTCAACACTTTTGGGGATATTTTTTTATAGATTTTGAGTTAAGTTATGCAAATTATATGTATTTTGTTCAACAAAACTCAACATTCCAACTAAATTAGTTGAAGATTGCTTAGCAATTTAGGTACCTTGTTGTAAGATTCAACTTTATAAACCTACAATATAGTAATTGCAAGTGAAATAAGTGCTTTGGAAAAGCTAAAGATTCCTTGTTGTGTAATTAATTCATCATTTTTAACTTACTTATAAGTCAAGTTAACTTTTAATGATATAATATATGTAATAAGATTTATGAATCTGGATAGCACACACATCTAATTGTTAGATTGTCAAGAAAATTTGCATTTTAATGTTTTAAGACATTGCTTGACAATTGTATTTTCTCCTGTGTCATGGGTTTTCATTCAGGAACATACTGGCTGTCCAGCTACAACATCAACCTTAGATGTAGAATAGATGACCATGTAAATGCAAGCTTTTAATGAATTGAAAGTAACTGATGGAACTAACATTATAGGTTACATAGTGTTTGGCTTCCTTGAATACGACTTATTCTCCCGGTAACAAGGACATAATCTTTTTGTTTAAATTAATTTACTCATCTGATCTTATGCAGTCTTTAAGTAGGTAAAAATGCCATGTAGCATTAAGTCTGCCTAAAATCTCTCTTATTATATGTTCATGAAAGTATTTTTAAAAACAAAAGTTATTACAACAAAGTATATACAAAGATTATTTTAGTTAATATAGCCCAAATATGGTGGAGACTTCTTGAGCATGAGATTTCCCGTCAGCACTTTATGTGTAGTTATAAACATATCATTTTAAGTTAACTTTGATGACTTCAACATTCCTTTCATTCTAAAGTAACCAATATTCTGAAGAAACATGGTCTAATTCAAAAATAGACCACATTCTTTCTTCCCGTTAAAAAAGACCTTTGCTTAGCAGGTGTAACGATAATAAGTTCTTGATACTTGATACTACATGTATTGTACTCAAAATTTAATAAAAACTTCTTTTCCAGCCACAACACTGGTACATCACACTGGTTGGACCCCAGATTAGCAAGAGTCAGGAAACATTCCCTCGGAGAATGTGGAGAAGATGAGTTGCCATTTGGCTGGGAAAGAGTGACGGATGAACGATATGGTTCTTATTACGTAGACCACATCAATAGAAGAACGCAATATGAAAATCCTGTGCTGCAGGCTAGAAGATTGAGAGGTAGGTTTTTGCTTGATAATATACCTTATTGAAAATTGATTTAAAGTGTTCTTTCCTTTTGCGGGATCACAGGATCCCGGACCTTTGGAAGGCATACAAGGGTCTGAAGCAACCTCACAGAGGCCTGTTGATCAGTTATAATCTAAATGTGATGGGACATCAGCATGGGCATGGGCAATTATCCCTGTATACACTTTAAAAGTACACCATGGTTATAGGTGTGGGTGGCTATGGACTGGTAGATGATAACTATAGAAATACCATAAAGTGCATTATTAGGTTTATTACAGCATCAGATTAGACAATATATATTTTTTTAATGAAATATGCCTGGAAACTTGTACACGAACCACCTAACAGCAAGCAATCAATCTACTCAGACATATTGGCAACACCAGAATAATTGCAAGTGCCTTGCTGGCTTTTTGGGCTAATACTAGTGTGCTAACTCGACTGTTGTTTCACGCCTGTATACCTTAATTACGTGGTATCACACCCGCCGAGCCGCCCTGCGCGTGCCGAAGTACTTATGAAAGATAGGTGTTCAGATCAATCCTACTTAGGGTATACAAGCAGTTGGTTGGCAGCAATTTTTCGCGAAACTTTCTGCCTCACACAGCAAAACGTGTTGCCATTTAAACCACCTTAAATGGTTTAAATGTGATCTTTCGGCGGAGGTATTTCCAAACCTTTACGACCTTCAAACATTCAAGAAACGAGCGGACTCCTTGAAAGACCGGCAAAGCGACTGTGACTCCTGTGGCTCCTGTGGTGATGCGGGTGTCCATAGGTGGCGCTGATCTCTTAGCGTGCTAGTACATGGACTTACTATAAGACAAAACTACCCTCTGCAAGTACCTACCAAAGACCTAAACTACCAAAGCGGTAGGAGTTATTTGATGACCTACAATATCGAAACAAAATCAATTTTATAATGACAACCATTATTTAACTTTCTCCAAGGTTCAGGTACTAGGTACCTAGTAACTAAAGGTACTTAATCAATTCAAAATGCCCAATCGATAAGACAGCTAAAATCGTAAATCGTTTACATAATTGGTAATCAGTCCGTCGGATAATCAGGAAGTAGGTAATAATTCATTTTATACCATGCTGTAAAGTTCCAGTTGACTGAAAGTAATTCAGCCATAACTTGTTTTGTAACCGGTTTTATAGTGAGTAACGTTACTGAAGTTATGCGCGGACTTCAGCCGAGTAAAGTTACTTTAGAAAATTTGAAGATACCCGCACGAGCTGTTTATATAGAAACTAGCGGACCTTCCCCGAAAACCCATACACATATCAAGCAGCGAAATCGTAAGGCCGTTTCTCAGATCACATGCTTTTTTAAGAAATCAGAGCCATCTGCCGGGCTGATTTGTGAATCTAAACCACCCAGGGCACCGCACAAACGCCTACAGAAAAAATCATTTAAAGCGTTCGCTGTTTAGGAGGAGTTCAATGACATACACACGTACAGCAGAATTATGCCTGTACCATGCGAAGTGCTCCGAGGAATGGTTCGTCCACTGCATATTCACCATCGACCCACGCGAAATCACTCTCATCCTAATCATATAAATGGATGGCTATGAACAACTTTGCGATTTTCGCGAATTTTTCTGCCAGGCACAGTAAAACTTTGGAATGATCTTTCGGCTTAAACACTAGAGCCTAACCACCTGTGGTGTCTATGGGCGTCGCTGATCACTTACCATCAGGTGATCCGTATATGGTTTTTTATAGCTCCTATTCCATAAAAAAGGAAGGCGCTATTTTCTTTATAACATTAATAGTTCCATAAAAAATACAGTGGATAGGTCCATTGATGAAAACCACATTTAAATGTGTTAAGCGGTTTCTGAGTTTGTTGCTAACATACAGACGAGACGCGGGATTTTGAAAAATAGTATAATACTCAGGATAGTGTAACCCGCTTCCCAAAACGGTGTCCAAGTGGAAAGATGAATGAACAGTAATATGGTTAGTGAAAATGTCCACTTTGATGTTTATCCGCGTGAGTTAATTTGACAAGGCCGAGGGCCTAACTACACTGTTGTGTTAACTAAAATAGTTTATGTGAAAAATATAGCTATTATTACCCGCGGCTTCGCTCCTTACCTACCTACATTATCTACTTTACCTACCATGCACTATCTACCTTACTCTAACTAGCCTAACCCTAACACTACACTACACTACCTGCCCTACCATACCTCCTCTACCCTATTCTATGTTCTTCTTCTGGTTCTAAAACTTTCTTTTTTTGTGAGGAGGAAAAACATCAAATGGCTTCTCCCGCCCAGGGTGAGGCAAGTGTGATTGTCGGACTCTTACTGACTAAAACCCGTTCCTTCTCCTGCTCTAGGCTGAATTGCGCTTGCCCTGCTAGACTGATTTTTGCTTCCTCATATTCAATATAAAAATGGAGTTAAAAAAGAAAGAGTAGCCAAACTACGAATGAAATGTGTAGTTTTTGTAACACTTCTACATATTGCACACGCTCGAAAAATGTTGTGCTATGCTAAGGTTCCTTTAACTATGCTAATTAACGAATACTCTCAATAGCTACAACTTTCGCTAATATAGACTATGTATCTTTATTGCTATTGTGGAGACATCCATAAAATGTTCAAAGATACAGATAGAAGCAATAAATCAATTAATATCTTCATAAACCCTACATCACTTTAGTGAAGTTTTGAAGAATATGGAACAACAAATACCAACGTCCAGTTGTTGAGCAGTTATAGCCCACCAGGCATAATAATCACACACCTGGTCGAGGCATCCCCCTTTTCGGATCTTAGCAAACTATACTCTATGTTTCCTCTACCTTTCAATTGAAGACAGTAGAAGATATGTACAATAGCTGCGCTAGCGCCGGCGTTCGCTTGGGGAATTGATTGTGTTTGGTTACAGTATTTTGCAATCGCAGTAGTGTTTTTACTTTTATTACCTTGGCAATGTAAAATCGATCTTATACACAGATTTTTACCCGCGATTGTGGGTAGATAGAAGCGCTAAAATGTTTTACAGGAAGAGGAATATAGTGGTTCTTAGTCAGTGAAAGGCTGACACAACCTCGCCCCACCCAGGGCAGGCTTCTCCTGCCCTCATTTAGTGACTACCCATAAAAAAGCCACAGGTTTTGATTATATCAGTCTTTAACTGCAGTCCGTAGTCAGCTCTTACGAAGCCCGAGAAAATAGTAGGGCAATTATCACCTACAAAACCTGTAACCATTAAAATCAGACAATTTCATCCAAGAATCGCTAATTACGTGTCGATAAGTAAAAGCTGTAATGCACAGACTTAATTAACCGTGGCAGCTGTAATTTCTTACCATGTTTATTCACGCTTATTTCCATAATATCTGTACTAATATTACAAAGCTGAAGAGTTTGTTTGTTTGTTGGTTTGAATGCGCTTATCTCAGAAACTACTGGTTCCAATTTCACCATTTTTTATGTTACATAATTAAATTTAAGGGAGGCTATAAAACATCACGTTGCGACCAATAGGAGCAGCGAGTGAAAAGCGTTTTTTTTAGTAGATATATCGTCTAATGGCTTCTCCCACCCTGGATGGGGCGTTAGGGATCTTACAGACTAAAAAGAGACTCTTACAGACTAAAAATAACCAACGTTCCTTCTCCCACTTCAAGCCAGGCTAAAAGCAATTCTTTGACTACCGAATCATAACAGCTCTAACATTAATTGTCTAACATTAATCTAACATTAAGTGAAGGCTTAAATCGCTTAGCTACTAGCTGATGTCCAAAGTATTGCATGTCCATTCGAACAACACTTTGTGTGTTCCACAATTTGATATTCGGAGTCTGGATGTAATGTGTTTGATGTAAGCACTCTCACGACACCGGCGTAAATGGCCCTAGAGACAAAATTTGGAACTGGACAGTTTTTTTTAGTAATAAGCGAGTCGACTATCTTGTCAACAGTTGTATGTAGGTTTATGTCTGCATATATTTCATAACGCGCAAGCAACATAGGAATAAGCGCATAATCATTTTTCAAAGTCAAAGTCTTTACTCAAATATTCCGCCTAAACCATAAATCCGGCTTTCTGATCGTTATTAAAGCTAGATGATCGTTCCAAACTGTAGATTCGAATGGAGAAGGATGAGCAAAAAGTTCTTTACCGATTTATTACGACTATCGTTTACAGCCCGCTGCAAGATTTTCAGAGTTTTTCCTATATGTGACAGAACTAACTACAAAGTAAAATATTTTTCGAAGATAACAACTAGTAATTATTGTTTGTTTCAGCGGAGAAATTGTCATCAGAGAATGGGGGTACCGGCCAATCTAACGGGCCCACGCCTACAGGAGAACTCCGGGGCGAGAGATTCACTCTCACTCTTACTAAAGGCACTCAGGTAAACTATTATACTACTTTGTATATTTCCGGTGATGAATCAGGATTTTAAACGTTTTTAACTTCGAGCGGTGGTTGAACTCGAAGAATTGGGATTATTATTTGGACTTTACTAATATTAATGAGGATTTCAATTGTTTTTTGTTTCGTATTTTAATAACTTTGAATTTACCTTCTGACTATATGGGCATCTACTATAATTAAGTATATATTAAAAGGCATAGGAGAGAGTATGAGTCAGGTACAGAAAAAGATATTGTTCTAAAGCTCCTTTAACAGAAAATATGCACACGTACATCCTTTTCCACATATTGCAAACTAGGTGATGGATCACTGAAGAACCATTGAAGATGCCGATGGTAAGCAATCAGCATCTTCAATGGTTGCATAGATGGGTGGTTATCCATGGACGGCGTCGCCAGAAGAGTTACAAAGGTGTTCTCAGACATTTGTGGATTTGAGGATGGCTTGTGTCTCCGGTTATCTCAATCACACAGGTATACACAACATAAGCGTTGTTTCACGCTGGCCTTCCTTCACGCCGTGAATTTTGTAGGAAATCGCAACATATTCATAATGTTTTTACGTCAAAAAGCATGCTACTTATTTCAGGAAAAATATCTAAAAAAAAATATCGTCAAATCAATGAATAAAAGTATAATTTATTGTATTGAAAAGTCAAAATATTTTATTTTTGACCTATTAAACTACCCAAGTTTAGGTTCTTTTTATAATCCAATCCATATTTAGATAACATTCGAGAAAAAATGTTCACAAGATTTTGTAAAGAACTCACGTACATAATGATATGTCATATGGACAATATAAAGGACTTTCTTTAAAAAGCGTCCCGTTTCCGCATCGCGTCGGAGACGAACCGTAACGTTCTGGTTAACCCCGTTTATTCCTGTTCAGCTGCCATGACGACTGAGTTTAGTATTCTTCGAAATTGTTATAATATTTTAGGCGAAATATGTTATGTATTTCTTTTATTATTTTTATCTACAATTGGGTAGTTTCTAAAATGAAAAATAAATTAATTCGACGTTTCAATACAATAAAATTTAAAAAATAATTATATTAGAGAAGAACTATACTAGGTACTATAAGATTCATCGATCTGTCGATATACAAAATTTTTAAGAAACTAGCTTCCGCCCTCTGCTTCGCCCTCGTGGTATGTTGATAAAAAGTAGCCTATGTCCTATTCCGGAGTGTATCCTATGCCTGTGCCAAATTTTATCCAGATCCGTCCAGCTGTCTTTGCTTGATTAACAAACATCCAAACATCGTAACTTTCGCATTTATAATATTAGTAAGATAAGTAAATTATTTGACGCAAAAATAATATGGCTTCATAAGTGTCATGTTCATGAGATATAGCAGATTAGACACAGAGAGGAACTCTAAACAGGAATTATTAAATTAGGAGCAGTCGTTCGGGTGTTATGCGCATGCATACGTACTAAATAACTTAAAAAAAGGATCAATTTAAGTACTGCTTTTTGCACTGAAATTGACATTGTATGTTTACAGGGTTTGGGCTTCACGCTGATCGGTGCTGAAGGTACACCTGAAACAGAGGGCTACCTTCAGATTCGCAGCATCGTGCCCCATAGCCCAGCTTGGATTGATGGTAAGCTGTCATTCAAAGTATTAGTCCTAAGACTAAAGGTGGAAAATCATATCACCGACTTTTCCCACCATGGGCATGGTTAAGACGAGAGTCAGACAGACTCTTAGTGACATAAAACCACGCTGTTCTTTCTTCTGCTTCGAGCAGGAACTGGTCGAATTGAGAAACCTCCTTTTATTATATCATCATCATCATCATCAGCTTATAAGTGCCCACTGCTAATCAAAGTCCTCTTCTCACCCGGTGAAGGTTTAGAGCATTAATCACCACGCTTGCTCAAGGCGGATTGGCTATTTCAAACTTATAATTAATACTAATTATAAGTTCAGATTTCCTCACGATGTTTTTCTTCACCGTATGTCAGTGGTGTCTAGATAATCATAGAAAGTACATATAACTCGGAAAAAGTCACATTGTCACTTGCCAGGTTTCAAACCCTCATGCATGAGAAGCAGGCGCCTTAAACTTCGGGCCACCACGACCTATTATTATAATGTTGTTATTCAATTTATATACATACATATATTATTGTGTTTCGCCATGTGAGTGAGGTGGAAGCCCAATCATTTTCCTCCCCATCCCTTCCGCATCCTGAAATCTCTGAACCCCCAATCTCCAAAAGGCCAGCAAAGCACTCCTCTGGTGTTGCGAGTGTCCATGGGCGGCACCGATTGCTTACCATCATAAAGAAGTGTGAGATCTATGCTTCGGCACGAATAGGTCGGCCCGACCGGAGTGATACCGCGGCCTCACAGAACATCTGCATGAAGCAAACTTACGTTGTGTTTCGCCGTGTGAGTGAGGCTACCAGAGGCCCAATTTTACCCCCTGCTCCATTCTCAATCCTCAAATTCCCTATCCATAAATCCCTAACAACCCACAAGAGGCCGGCAACGCACTTGAAGTAATTCCTTTGGTACTACGAATGTCCCTGGGCGGCGCTGATTGCTTACCATCAGGTACTTAATCTGCCCGCTGTCGACCAATGCACCTAATACTACGTTGTTAATGAATTTGTCCGTTTATCTTTCCAGGAGCTCTTCGTCCGGGTGACGTGGTGGTTGGAGTAGGCAACCGAGGAGTGCGAGGTCTCTCCCACGCTCATGTCGCGCAAATTTTCCAGTCTATTACACCTGGAACTGAAGTCACACTGCATCTTGTTAGAGGTGACTTTCATATTAATTCTGTCATTGTTTTTTACAAAATACAATTTAAGTTGCTAGTCATTTGTCTAAAGTCGGCGGCGCGTCCCAGGGACATGAATGACTGTCTTGGATCCCTCATCAAAGTAAATCAGAAGATATTATTTGAGGTGAAAAAAAAACGAACTAGTTTTCATTACCCTCGGTAAATTTAATGAAGGAGACTGCGCCAACTGTGCAGTCAAATACATCTTAACATGATTTTACCTTTATTCCAGGTTACCCCTTGTCCTTTGACTCGGAAGACCCCAATACTCGCGTTCTAAGTACGCTGGCGGTGGACGCGACCACCCCCGCCACCTCCGACGCCGTCGCCATGCAACAGCTCACCAGAGCTCTGCGGACCAGGTGAATATCACGATGCAACTGATTACAATATTGTTCTTTCGGGGATGGGACGGCAAGAGAACAGGTTAACAATAATAACACTAGAGTAATTAAAGATTAGGGATGTTTGGGGATAAGTTGGACTTTAATGGTGATAAACGAGCTGATAGATTACCTGATGATGTTGTTAAGATTGTGCATGCGGTAAGCATGCACAATCTTAACAACAGAAGATTTACGAGTGCGTTACCGGCGAGCTAGGGAGGGATGGAGGGAGCAGCGGCGGCGAACCAGAATGCAAGCGCTGTTTTTCGCTGGTACTCTGTGAGGCCGTGTTGTCACTCCGGTTACCTCATTTGATTTTCTTTAAAATACACTCAGTTAACTTTTTTCTGAAATTATTTAACAATATCAATTACGCAATAAACAATGAGTAAATTATTATTTTATTACATAAAGAAATTTAATTTTTTACTGTTAACATAATATCACTCTCTTTTAGTAACCCTTTAATCAAACCAAAACAAAAACACTCGACGTTCTAGCCCCAATACCTTCGTATCAAGAACAATCTAAAAAATACTCAGATCTATTCACAATTCCAGATTCAACCTGGATTCACCCAACCACGAGTCCTCCAACCAGGGGAGGGATAAAGTGGATGGTCCAACCCCACACAGTCCAGGACAGAGACGGATGATGTCCCGGTCCTTTGACCTGGATGAACTGACCATACATGATGATAATCAGGAGTTGCCACGATGTCCATCCCTTGATCATGTACTGTCTTTGGCTGGCGGTAAGATTTTTATATACTTATATTATAAAGAGGTAAAATTTGTAAGTTTGTATGTAGGGGGTAATCTTTGGAACAGCTGGTCGGATTGCCAAAGTTGTTTCACTGATAGATAGCTACAATGTTCCTAAGTGTTATTGGCTATAAAACATCACGCTACGATTAAATGGAGCCAAGCAGCTTGTGAAACCGCGGGAGAGTAGCTAGTTTGTTATATTTTTGTACTACTAAAACTTTTCCATGCCAGCCATCAAGGATATCACTGTAACCATGGCAACCATGTTACTAATTGTTAGGACAATCTTTTTGTTTTGCGTGTGGTGACGTCATAGGCATCCTAACTTATCAAGCCTTTGATCGCCAACAGGCAAAATCAGCGGCCTTCTCAAGCCTTTGACTGCCAACAGAAAACTTAAAGGCATATTCGCCGCTACTGAGTCATCAGAGAAATAAGCGGCGGTTATAATATGGTAGTTTCTATTGTTCCACCTATAAAAGTTATACCTTTTAAAATCTCAAAAACATACACACATTTTTATGACGTTTAACCACCGGTTTCCGAAAGGCCGATCAATGTTAAAATCAATTTAATCTCTTGTCAAGTCATCTGATTGATTGACTGAATTATTAACAACCAATCAGATGACTTGACAAGAAATTTAACAGGAGATTAGCTAATTTTAGCGTGGACAAGCCTTTTAGAAACCGAGTGTAACTGTTTTCTTTGAAATATGTATCATGCTTGTTTCTGAATCTTTAGTTAGATAAATTCTAAAATTACGTATGTATTAAATCAATGAACGAAAGTTTAATTTGATTATGTTTCAATAATTTTGTGTGATGAAACGTCCAAATATTTTATCGAGACGTAGCAACCTACCAATTGTATTATAGTGTATTTTTTACATACTCGAAACAACAATTAGTGAATCGCAAAAACTGTTGTTCCGTAAGAAAATTGAACCAGCGGCAAGTTGCACAGTTGCCCAGCCTAAAATAGCCAATAACGAGATTGTTATGGTTTGTTTTCAGAACATCAATCGCGAGCTGATAACATGAATAACTCGTCCAACGAGCCGGGCAGGGAGCTCGTGCTGACGCTGCGCCGGGGGGCGGCCGGCTTCGGATTCACTATCGCCGACAGCGTACACGGACAGAAGGTTAAAAAGGTACTAATCGTTTTAACTGTCTTATCCAAACTAATATTATGAATGCGAAAGTAACTCTCTGTCTGTATGTCTGTCTGTCTTTTCTTCACGCCTAAACTACTGAACCGAATTCTGTGAAATTTGGTACAGACATAATTTGGAACTCGAGAAAGGACATAGGATAGTTTTTAAACCAAAAATTTGCCGGAAGTCGCTATTCCACGCGAACCGAATCGCGGGCAAAAGCTAGTAACCAATAAGAAAAAGTTAGTTCTGTTTTTTGGGAGGGGAAAATCACACCTCTAAGATCCAATAGACCGCCACATACGGGGCCCTATAGGGCTGATGTTCAGCCGGGGTTACGGGGTAAGCGCAATGAGGCACCGCGACCTCGGCCCAGAGCAGGAGAAGGAACGGGAGGGTTTTAGTCAGTAAAAGTCTGACACTCAATCCTGCCCGACCCTGGGCGGAAGAAGAAATTTGATAAATTTACACTTACAAAAAAATAAAAAATGGTAAGTAATCGACGCCCACGTACACTTGCAACACCTCAAACAAGAGTATAAAGTGCGTTGCCGGCCAATGTCTGTTGTTAAGGATATGAGGATAGGGCCTCCGGTAACCTCCTTCACGTAAGCGTTATTTCACGCCGCTAAAGGCCGCGGATTCTTCAGTCGAGTGGGCTCTTTCGTATTAAGAATTGGCTCGTTTATCTAATGACTTAATTTGATTATGACCAGGTTTTGGACCGCAGTCGGTGTGCAGGTCTGCGGGAAGGTGACTTGTTGCTGCAGATCGGAGATACAGATGTCAGGCACGCACCCCACCAACATGTTGTACAGGTTTGTGATCTCACACATACAATAATGTGTAATTAAATAATTTATTAGTGAGCTTGTAAAACACATATTTTTTTTAAAAGAGTTACAATAGAGTTCTTTTCCGGAACTTTTAAATCCATAGAATTTACACTTTTGACAAATAGACATAAGAGACATTCCAAAAGTATCTGTTTATGGTTTTGTTGGGATAAATGTCTTTTTTTGTCCAAATTAAATAGTTCCATTTGTTTCTGTATTCAATTGCTTAGTTGAAAGTTTGACAAAAAATATGCCGAATATCTTAATTTTAAGTATGTTTCATCGGGCATAATGTAGCTTGATAGGAGTAAAAGAATATCTCAAATTGGTTAAAAAACTGTAAAATTTAAACAAATCAAGTTTTTTGTCTTTAATATTATGTGTGTGTATGTATAGTTTACGATATACATATTTCAATAATAAATGTTTAGTGTTATTTTAAAATAATAAGTTTCATCATTTTTCAATTTGTGCATATTAACGTAGTATTAATCCCCCCCTAGGTGCTGAAGGAGTGCCCGGCGCTGTCGGCGAGCACGCTGCGCGTGTGGCGGCGCGGGCCGGCCGCCCAGCGCGCGCCCCGCTCGCGCTCCGCCACCCGGCACCAGCCCGCCGGTACCACGCTCATACTACATCTTCTACTCACTTCCTCCGCCCGACGCAGACTCAGACTCTTACTAAAACCCATCCAGTTCCGTCTTCTGTTTTAAGCCGGGACGCAGTAGTTTATTGCACTTACACCCGCAACCCCAGTTGAATATTAGCCTTAATTGGTGATATGCCAGAGCGCAGATGAACGCGAAACATGCGTCTCATATACAGGCAGCCAAGAGGTTAATGGGCTAAATCTATGATGGTCTGATCCGTGTAAAATGTATCTTAAAATTTTAACTTACAACAGCGTATTTAATCGCTCAGACCTGTAGGCCTACCATGAAATGTTAAAGCGTGAATCTTTCGAGCGAGAAAGAGGGATGGAGCTATACACCTTTAATAGCTCCATCCCTCTTTCGCTTTAACACGTCATGGTTGGCCCTCTGACCACTGTTTACCACCACTAATAAGACCTACTATGGCCAACGTCCAGCAATTATGTATACCGGCCCAGCTCGAAGAAGGAGAAGACTGGTTTTAGCCGTTAAAGTCCTCGCACAGAACGGGAGAAGATAATGAATGATTTTTCAGCTACACTTCAAAAACTATATTGCTAAAAAAATTACTTAGAAGATAATAAAAATACATACAAGACAATGTGTATAATAAAACAAAACTAACAAAAGAAACAATTAATTTGTCTTTTGAAATTGCATTATTTGACGATTACTTTGTTTACAGCCACAAATAACAACCAGCTAATTAGAAGCAAGACTCCAACGGCAGAACAGCTGCGGTCACCAAACCTTCATACTCAAGACTCGTTGAGAGACAGACTTAATGGCATGAATTCTGGTAAGAAATACGAGCATAAAATAAGCCTTATTTAGTGTTACTCATGTATTAGAAAAGTTACCGATTCAGCTAGAACAGCTGGAAATAGTACCCAGGTGAAACTGGGGGAAATACGTATATTGTAATCCATGTTGTTTATACATCTATTGATTGTTAAGTATCTTAAAATCTTCACCTATCATTAAAAAGTGTTCAAATTATCAATTGCTATATTTTTGGTTATATCACAAACACACAGGTATGCGCAGACTTAATATTATAATATTTGAGGACTGGGGATTAGTGGAAACGCAAATAAAAGTATAATTTAGTTTTCATTCAATAATTGTTTTTATTTTCTTCATTAGAAGCGACATACGCAGTGCCCGAACACAAAAACCGTGAAAGAGAAAGCCTTATAGACCGTAGGCGCAGAAGCAGCACTCCAGGAGGTCGTCTCACCCTCCCTGTAGTCACTCCTTGGAACGAGCCTCAACCAGAAAACCAATGGCAAGAACGAGAAACATGGGTTGACAACTCTAACATCAGAAACTGGGCTGAAAACGCTCAAAAGTGGGATGAAAATGGCCAAAAATGGGACGAAAACGGACAAAAATGGGAACAGAACGGACAAAAATGGGAACAGAATGGACAAAAATGGGATGAGAATGGTCAAAAGTGGGTGGAGAACGGACAGAAGTGGGAGGAGAATGGTCAGAAATGGGTTGAGAATGGACAGAAATGGGATGAGGGTGCAAATGGGAATCGGTGGGAGAATAATGAAAGGTGGGGGAATGGAAATTGGGGGGAGGTGCCAACTCCCACTGTTCATGTAGATATGAATGCTGCTTACTGGAGGGGGAATGCCAGCGTGGCTGATAGTAGCGACAATGGAGGTAAGCAAATATATTTTATATTACAATATGAAGTTTTCTAACTTATTTTAAAATTCTTTATATTCTAGTGTTTTTTTATTTTATGCTATAATCAATGTCTATTACTCTAAACACTTATTTTACAATTTCTGGATAACTGCTAGGTATTAGATAAACTTGAATATAGAACAATACCTAAAACAAATCTACCCCCTACCCTGTCAAATCCTTAACATTAGCCGAGACCCTAACCACTCGTTACTACCTTGGTGTTGCAATTGGGTTACCATGGGCGGCGCCGATTGCTTACCATCAGAAAATGCGCCTGCTCTTCTGCCGACCTATCACACAAAAATTACGCGCTACGCCTCTCCTTCGCCACTAAAGAATTTACATGAAAAATTATTATTAGTAGTTAGTAACCTAATGAATTTCTATTTTGTTAAGGTTTCCCAGAAGATGGTATGCTGCATTCGCCAACGACTGCAGCTATCGGAGGCCTCACCAGACAGTCTCCGTCAACCAGCAGGATACGGCCACTCTCTCCTTCTAACTCGACTGGTATGTCTACATAAACCCGATAATTAACTAAGAAAAACATATATAATTTCTACTTTACACTGTAAAAAGATATTGATATATAATTCAATTTTGTCCTTGTCAAATATTTTACGAAAACCTTTTTTAATATGATTTTAAGGCAAACTATCAGACAAATTACCTGAAGTTAAGCAATCGACGCCGCTCATAGTCACCCCTTACACCGGAAGATTTAAAAGTGCGTCCTCGGTCTTTAGGGGATTAGTGTTTCGGAGATTTAGGGATTGGGGGAGGGGAAAAAGGATGGGGCCTTCGGTAACCTCCATACACATCGTTCGGAAACACAACGTTGGTTGTTTCACGCTGGTTTTCTGTGAGGCCGTGGTATCACTCCGTTCGAACCGACACAACCGTTCAAGTGTACCTTTCGGAATGAAAGCTACTTTTAATATGCTATAAACCCTTAAAATCAACAATGGTCGTTCTTGTTTCAACGTTTATTACTACATTGCCACCGACTCGCCCAGAAAGTCCACGTAAATTTTATTCCAGCGCCGTGGAATCGCCCGGCGAGTTCAACTTTAGGCCGCTACCCCACTAGGCTTTTTACTAGCGTTGATGTCAACACTGTGTTTACGCAGCGTCGACGCCGCTTTGTCGCATGGCAAGCATTAACGTCCGTGGGATAACGGCCTAAAATGTACGAGACTTGTAGGCGGCATCTGAGGTATGATCGTGAAAATCGTAGTGGTAATGAAAGTGTTAATCAAATACATATTAATGTGTACAATAATGTTCCCAGGTCGTCTCCGCAGTCACTCCCCGTCGACCAACAGCGCGACTGACCGCCTACTGTCCCACTCTCCGTCCACTCGGCTGCAGAGCCAGTCTCCTTCCAACAACTCTTCAAACAGCAGGATCAAATCGTCACCCCTCAGGTAAAATCCTCAAAAAAAGGGAATGGCTTCCTAACTAATCTACTATTTTGATTTTCTCCTGTATCGTGCCTGCCAGACCCGAATCAACAATATCTGGATCACACTATGTGGCTATGTGGGGTCCAAGTTCAAAGTGGGGTGTGTCACGATTTAAATGTTTTACCATCTACGTGATCGCTATTCCAAATGTGAATTACTTGAATAAAAAAAAAAACAAGACTAGATTTTTTTTTTAAATAAACAGTGAAATGATGAGACGTCAAACTTGTGGAGACAGCCGGGGTTGCGGGGTGAGCGCAATGAGGCACCGCGACCTCGGCCCAGAGCAGCAAAAGGAACAGGGGGGGTTTGAGTCAGTAAGAGCCTGACACTCCCTGAAGTCATTACACTAGTGGAAACACTATCATATACAACCTGTGACAAGAACATCAGTTAAATTCATGATTCGTGTGACGATGTATGATCATGGGTGGCATGACCACAAAATTTAGAGACAATTCGGCTCGTTGGAATAGTAGGTTTAATGATAAACTGTGTCCTGGCAGTCACCATAATACATGGTCAACACAAAAATGCGGATATTCTTATTTGCATTTTAAAGGAAAATATTTGTTTTAGGTTACGCGAATCCTCCCCGTCCCGGCACATGCACTCCCCTGTGTCGCGACAGTCGCCATCTTGCTACGAGAACGATGCTCAACCCAACACGCTGTACGTCGCTAACTACCCACAGGTAAGATTCATTTATTTACACCTGAAAGATGGTGTCGTTTAAAATGTATATTAATATTGTCGAGCTGAAGAGTTCGTTTCACTTCTTGATTTGACTTTGCGTTTCGTGTCAGGCCTGAAAGGAACCTATATTCACTATTTGTTTTAATGATTCATGCACAAATTGTCAGATAATTTTATTAAAATTTTAAATAAAGATTTTTGAAATGTGTATTATACCGCATTATAGATTGCGTAATGTTTTGGAGTAGACATAGAAATGTGTACTATTTACGTTCCCGACAGCCATGTTTCTTTATAAATGGGTCGGCTCGATCCCGTGGATTCCTAAAACACTCGCGTGAAACAGCCACAGCGTTGTTTTCAGCTGTGTGAGTGAAGCTATCATGCGTGGGCCACACTAACGTGAAATGCTAATAATTATCTAAATAATTGATGATGATGAAACAATGAAAAATATACCTTAAGTCATTTGTTTAGTGATCAAAATACACCTATGATTAACGTCTATTATCGCCATAATTAATGGCATTTTTTTCCCGTTAGTGTGGCCCAAGCATCAGTGGTCTAATCCCTTGTCCCTAACCAATCTTCAATCGTACTGCGTACCCCTTCGACGTTGCAGGTGTTCATAGATGACGCTGATTGCTTATTTACACACACACAGACACACACTCGTTTGTCGACTTATTCCATAAAATAGAAAAGAAACAAAAACCATTTATTTCTGCGCAAAATACACATGAACTTAGGAATTACAAAAAAAAGACATTCATACAGAAAGCGAAGGCACCTAATTAGAAAATATGGCAGTAATAAAGAAGAAAAACAAAACCAAAAACTCAATCTAAAAAAAGTCTTGTCTATGGTCCACAGATAGAGTATCCATTTCTTATTTTATAATAAGTATTATTATCTGTGGACCTAAATACCTACATGACACTAGTCAGTGAAACATGACGCCGTCACTTCATGTGCGCTAGTGGTATAGTTTAATATTATGTAATATATATTTATAGTATTTTTAAGTTTTACATTGTTTATAATTATAGTATTGTATATGTTTATATGGGCTTTTGATGTCTGAAATAAATGAATAAATAAATAAAAATAATAAATAATAACGTCGTTACAGGTGGAAGCTGGCGGCGCGGACGGCTCGGACCCCGACGCGGACGTACTGGTGCGGCTGGCGCGCGGCGCCGCGGGCTTCGGGTTCCGCATCGTCGGCGGCACCGAGGACGGTAGCCGCGTCGCCGTCGGATATGTCGTTCCCGGTGAGTTATGTGCATTGCTTATTTTTTATTTTAAAAAGTCTTTACCCTACAATAAGGATTACTCCAGTGTCGTGGGTTAGTTTACAATCATACAAATTCACATACACAAACCACCCAGATCCGAAACAATAATTTGTGGATCACACAAAGAGTAGTTCCGTTTGGGCATCGACACGTTACGCCGCTACCCGGCCCAGACACCGCACCAACCGTGAAGTCAAGTAATCACTCAAAAATAAAAACATATATTTGGAGTCTAAGAAAGCCATGCTTTGGCTCGAGTGGCCGGCGCAATCAGAGTTATACTATTACGAAAAACATCTTGAGGACACTTGGAGACAAGTTTGAAATCGCCAATACACCATGAGTTACCCTGTCATTAATGCTCATAGTCATTACTTCTTTAAATATTTTTTTCAGCAGTACAATAGTTATAAGCTTATGATGATGGTAATGATGCTAAGCACCTCCACCACGCTTCCGAGGATTAGAAGACGTCATGTATTTTTTTTCATGATAAACCTTTGCCACACGTTAGTCAAGAGTGCGTTTACAAACATACAAATTCACATACACAAGCCACCCAGACTCGAAACAACATTTTGTGGAGTGTCATTTACAAAGTGTTGTTCCGTGCGGGAATCGAACCCACGACACGATGTATAGCAGCCAGTCGCTACAGCGCCAACCGTGCTTTTTTTTTTTAAATACAATTCTTACATTTTTTCATTTAATTTTCCGCAGGAGGTCCAGCGGATGGCCTCCTCCGTCCGGGCGACCTGTTGACGTCAGTGGACGGAGTACCTCTGGCCGGGGCCACACACACGCGCGCCGTCTCATACGTCTGTCAGGCTGCTTCTAGAGGACATGTAAGTTATATGGCGTATTTCATTAAATTTTTTAGTTTACACGATTCTTGGTGAACTTGTCATATAATAATTATTACTTAGACTTTTATTTTCATAGTCAGTATTTATCATAGTGATCCTACGTCCTATAACCGGGTGAAAGCGCAACGATGTATCACCCCAGCCCAAAGCAAGGGAAGACATGGGGTGGATTTTAGTCAGTAAGAGTCTGACACTCCCTTGGCAGAATAATATGATGATATTCTACAAAAAAATCTACAGGCTTAGTAATATAAGTTGTTAGTAAGACTAAGTTAGCAGAAAAAGTTTTTAATCATTTTAATTACATTGTATTAATTATCACGTTTGACGACATAGCAATGGTCTATTTATCGACTTAATTGGGTATATAGTTTCCTAGGTCAAAAATAAATTAATTCGACGTTTCAATACAATAAAATATTGAAAAATAACATACTTTTATTCATTGATACACTAAGTTTAGATTTTTTAACGAATTATTAAGAAATAAGTAAGCTATTTGACGCAATAATACTATGACGTCATAACTCAGTTTTTCACACAAAATTCATAGAAAAGTATCTTTTTTGAAAATTGGATAAAAGTATTGAATTTGACTAATTGGAAACTACCATAATTATTGTCTATTAGTCTAAAACATCAATCGCGACGACTAATAAGAACCGAACAGCGGATAAAGCGGTGCTGGAAAAGCCTATAATAAATGAAATAGCGCAATAATATAATTTATTTTTGTACAGGTAACTCTGGGAGTGAGACACAATCGCGCTGACATCCAGCCTCTGGGTCTCCCGAACATGGCGGCGCCGCATTCACACCAACCTTTACTAACGTGAGTAAATACAAAACCATTATATTAAGTGTTATTACAACTAACCGTACCGTGGATGGCAATGGGGTTGCGGGGTAAGCGCTATGTGGCACCGCGACCTCGGGCTCGCCCTAAATTAGGAGAAGGAACGTGTCAGAAGAAGTCAGAAGTGTCAGACTCTTACTGACTAAACCCGGGGTGGCAGGGATTTTAGTCAGTAAGCAACAGACACTCTATCTCGCCTTACCCTGGCTGGGAGAAGTTATTTGATGATTATCCCCTGACAAAAAAAAAACAGTAGATGAGAAAACGACTGCTATGAATTTGTCTGAATTCGTTGAAAATAACTACAGTTTACTCACATGAAGTTTCCAACTAGAGATTTTTTTTTTATAAAAAATTAATCAGTTATTACCTACGTGTTTTTGAAAAAATATGCTATAGGTATACTAAAATGAAGGATATCGTCAAATCAATGCATCAAAGTGGGATTAATATTTTAATACTTCGATGTATTGATAAGTTAAAATTATTTATTTTTGACATAGGAAGCTATCACGGTGACATCCCGCTTTTTAATAGCTTTTGAGTGTTGTTCTAAGGGGCCCGCTTCACAAGCATGAGTGCAGGTTTGAAAACTGGCAAGTACTAATGTGACTTCCCGAATTACATGTATTTACTTTCTGAGATTAACAACTTGAATAAAACTGGACTTACTCAATACAAGTGTTAGAAACATTTCATAATGTAATTATTTATCATTGCAATGTACGAAATATTTTATTTCCACGCTGTATTGGATAACAAGGAGGTCGGAATATAACGCCTGGTTAACTTCGCGCACCAGACGGCGACTGAGGTATGGGGTGACACGCTAGACCTCATCCTCACCCACCCCCACCAACACAACTAGTACCGCACTGTGACCCCACCACTGCCATATTTAAAGCTAAATACTGCACATGAATTTGCCGTGTGTGACTTTTATACACTTTTACGCACTTTAGTTTCCATTTCCATGTCCTTACAGTACCCAAATTG